GAGAGGCAGAAGAAGAGAGAGAGAGAGAGGGCGAGAGAGGGAGAAGAGGGAGGAGGAAGAGAGGAGGAGAGAGGAGGGAAGAGAGAAGAGTAGAGAGAGAGAGAGAGAAGGAGAGAGAGAGAGGGAAGAGAGGAGAGAGAGAGAGAGAAGAGAGAGGAGAGAGAGAAGGAGAGAGAGAAAGAGAGAGAAGGGAGGAGGGAGAGAAGAAAGAGAGAGAGAGAGAGGAAGAAGAGAGAGATGAGAGAGAGAGAGAGAGAGAAGAGGAGAAGAGAGAGAGAGAGAGAGAGAGAGAGGAAGAGGAGTGAGAGAGAGAGCGAAAGAGAGAGCGAGAGACAGAGAGTAAAGAGAGAAAGGGAAGAGAGAGAGAAAAGAAGAAGAGAGAGAAGAAGAGAGAAGAGAGAGAAGAGAAGAGAGACGAGAGAGAGAGAGAGAGAGAGAGAGGAGAGAGAGAGGAGAGAGATCAATCAAAGTGCATGACATCACAGACGCCTTTAATCCAGTCAATATCCACATAACCGGAAACAAGAGCAGGAATGGAAGGAAGGGAGGGGGAATAAACATTAATGTAAGACGCAGGGGAGAAGAGGAAGAAGAAAGGGAAGTCAATTAAAGAAGAATAAGAGAAAGAGATGCAAAAGGAAGCATTGCTGAAAGACGAAAATCTTCTGTTTTCTTTTCCTTCCTCTTTCCAAGCGACACAAATGCTTTTCGTTTCCTTTATCTCCGTAATCCTTTTTTGAAACTATTTTCCGTTCGTCACCTTCATTCTCATTCTAATTTTCCTTCGTTTTGGGAATGTGCCACTGTATAACCCTCTCGGGGAAGATCTCTCCACTCTCTCTCTTTCTCTCTCTCTCTCTCTCTCTCTCTCTCTCTCTCTCTCTCTCTCTCTCTCTCTCTCTCTCTCTCTCTCTCTCTCTCTCTCTCTCTCTCTCTCTCTCTCTCTCTCCTCTCTCTCTTCTCTCTCTCCTCTCTCTCCTCCCTCTCCCCCCCCCCCCCTCTCTCTCTCTCCTCTCCCCCCCCCCCTCTCCTCTCCTCTCCCTCCCCCCCCCCCCTCTATCTCTCTTTCTCTCTCTCCCTCTCCCTCCTCCACCGCACTCGCTGCATTCCCTCTCCTCTTTTCCTCAGCCCTCGCTCCCTCGCCCTAATCTCCCCAATCCCTGCTCTCTCTCCTCTCTCCCTCCTCCTTGCCCTTTCACTCGCCCCCCCCCCCTTCCTCCTTCAGTCCTACGCCCTCATCCTGTTAACTTATGAGTGCTGGCGCGCACGCTCGCGGGACCATTGAGGCCAGAGGAGAAAAATGTCATTATTGAGCATAAGGTTCAAGGGGGGGGGATAATGGGTAAATAGAAAGGGAGAGGGTTGGGTAAGGGAGGTAATGGGCAAGAGGGAGTCCAAGAGGGTAAGATGCGTAGGAGAGGAATCGAGGAAGAGGTAATTGAGGGGTTGACGAAGCCTAGACAGGGGGAAGTGCGGTGGTACGGGGGGGAGTTAGAGGGAGGGGGGTGCAGGCTCAAGAAGAAGAAGCAGAACTGTAATTGGGAGAAACTAAGAAGAAAATAAGGGACTATGCACAACTCTTTGCTGAGCCGAGTCGTTCTGTTGTATCGCATTCGCCCACTGCACGTTCTCTCTCTCTCTCTCTCTCCTCTCTCTCTCTCCTGACCCCCCCCCCCCCTCTCTCTCTCTCTCTCTCTCTCTCTCTCTCTCTCTCTCTCTCTCTCTCTCTCTTCTCTCTCTCTCTCTCTCTCTCTCTCTCTCTCTCCCCTCTTTCTCTCTCTCTCTCCCATTCTCTCTCTTTCTCTCTTTCCTGCGTCTCTCCCTTCCCCTCCCCCCTCTTCTCTCTTTCTCCTACAAAATCTATTCATGCCCCAGCCTTCCTCCGCATGGGAAAAAAGCTAATCCTTAAATCCAGATTGCAGTCTAGCCAAAACAGAGTTAAACCTTCACGTAATCTACGCATAAAACGAAAAAAAAAAAACGAAACGAAAAAAAAAAAAACATAAAGGAGAACTACCCCGACTTTTTCTGTTCGGGGACATAACGTTAACGGAGTGGTAGGGCAAAGGGGAGGAGAAAGGGAAGAGATAGAAGGGAAGATAAGAATTATTTGGAAGGAGGACGGTTGGGAAGGAGAGAAGGAGAGAGAGAGAGAGAGGGGGAGGGGGAGAGAGAGAGAGGGGGAGAGAAAGGAGAGAGAGATGAGAAAGGAGAGAAAGAGAGAGAGAGAGAGAGAGAGAGAGAGAGAGAGAGAGAGAGAGAGAGAGAGAGAGAGAGAGAGAGAGAGAGAGAGAGAGAGAGAGAGAAGAGAAGAGAGAGAGAGAGAGAGAGAGAATGAGAGATAAAGAGAGAGAGAGAATGAGAGAGAAAGAGAGGGGGAGAGAGAATGAGAAAGAAAGAGAGAGAAAGAGATGTAGACAGACAGACAGACAAATGAATAGATAGACAGATCACCAGCAAGAGACGGAGCCAGTCACCTCCTTCTCCATTCTTCTCTTGCCAGTAATCGTTCTTCTCTCCTCCACTGGAGTCTAATCCTCTCCCTTCCTTTGTCTGTTCATCCTCTTTCCCTTGCGTCCTTCACCTCTTTATCATCCCCCATCTCTTCCTCCCTCCGGCCCTTTGCATTCGCCGCTTCCACCTTCCTTGCCGCCAGCTCCCCGTTCGGACCCCCCCCCCCCGTCCTGTCGCGGGCCACACCTGTCCTTCCCGATCGATTGCGTCACTTGGGGGTGGGGGTGGGGGGGGGGGGCTGCCGTATCACGTGCTGAGGCCGAGTACATGGGCTCGTATGTTCGGGGTAAGATACAGGCGTGCACAAATATGCGTGCACGTATGTCAAGCATGCACATATGGGTGTACAGGGACGCTCGCAGTCATACACACGAAGATACTGCAAACACTGTCATGTACTCACACACACATACAAAAACACACACACAAACAACACACACACATACACAAATTAACACACTTACACGCGCACACGCAAACAAGCGCACGTCACTTCGTAAACAACTGCCGTAATTACAAACGTACCCAGATGTGCGGCGCTTTCAGCTGCTGATGAGATGTAAGCATATGCTGAGGGCGATGGCGGAGGCAAAAATCCACGTATTTCTCCTTATTTTCTTGTTTTCCTGTCTCGCCTCCGTGATACTTCGGAAGGGATTGTGCCATTAAATAAAGTGGAAAGGTGCGTAAGACGACTTGGAAACTCAGTCCCAAGGATTTGAGAAACTTGCTGTCTTCTCGACGTTTTGAGACGGCGGGGAAACTCCCGCTCGACAAGGCGGCCAAAATGTCAATCGGAAATTCCTATTATCTCCGTGAGAGAGAAGAGCGAGGAGGAGGGAGACGCAAAGAGGAATAGAAAAACACACATACACACACACACACACACACACACACACACACACACACACACACACACACACACACACACACACACACACACACATATATATATATATATATATATTATATATATATATATATATATATATATATATATATATATATATATATATATATATATATATATATTATATATATATATATATATATATATGTATATATAAACACACATACAAACACACACACCACACACACACACACACACACACACACACACACCACACACACACACACACCACACACACACACACACACACACACACACACACACACACACACACACACACACACACACACACACACACACACACACACACACACACACACACCACACACACCACACACAGATATATATATATATATATATATATATATATATATATATATATATATATATATATATATATATATATATATATATATATATAATATATATATATATATATATATATATATATATATATATATATATATATTATATATGTACTCTTGATAATGTGCAAATTATTGGTAAACAAAGATAAAAAGGAACGTGCATTCAAAGGTAAAATGAAGCATAAATTGCTCTTCTGTTATTGCGGTGTTCCTATGCCTGGTTCGTAAACATATTTAAACGGAAGGGGTTTGCAGACTCCCCATAAAGATAATAACCAATAACAGCAACGAGGAAGATAATAGAAGTGACAAAAGGGATAATGATATAACGATGATGTTAAGGATAAGAGTAATGGATTCTGACAGACGATTTTGGTGATGGAATGATGACGATGGCAGTGATGATAACCTCGACTACGGTACTGTTGGCGCCGACTGTAACAACACAAATCATACGAACAACAGCAGTAATATAAACAGGAAAAATCCCAGCACCGCCAACAACGCGAGCAACAATCCCTCTCCAGGCAGGACCAGCATCCTCGACGTGAGCCTCAGAGACGCTTCTATCGCGTAGAGAGTTTACTTCGAGTGATCAGTGTACGCGGCACTCGACATCAAAGCGGAAGGGAGGGTCTCTGCGGACGCGTGCGGTGTAACATACGAAACAGTGAACTCGCTTTGCCTTGAGCCAGGGAAATGATTTTAGAGCCACGCGGCCAAGGGGACAGGGAGTCACTTCGGGGCCCACGCGTCGCTCTGGTTTGCGAAGGAGGGAGTGGGAGAGGGAGGAAAAAAGGGAGGGAGGTGGGCGTTCGGAGCAGGGCGGGTGAGGGAGTCGGAGAGGGAAGGAAAATAGAGGGAGATGGCGCTAGGAACAGGTCGGGTGAGGGAAGGAAAAGAGAGGGAGGGAGAAAGGTGATGCAAAAGTTAAGGAATTTTAAGAATTAGCCTAATGAGGGAGGAGANAAAAAGAAATAAAGGTATATACTTATTCAGCATTTATTAAATAGCTATATTTATGTAAAAATGGATAAATAAATGATTAAAAAGTACGAGAAATTTAAAACAAAAATCAATAATCACAGAGGGTGACACTTAAGAATGTAATAATTACATTTATCATTATATATGATATTTTGTACATACAAATGATTAGCTATGTTTTAGATTCTGTTATCCTTGTTCTGTTTTCCATTCACAGGGCAACAATGAGTATTCTCCCTGACCAGGTTCCTTTGGCCCCACTCATGGAGAAGGAAGTATTTGGCACAGGAGTCCATATCAAAGAAGAACTCAACAAAGTTGTCACCAAAGAAATAGAGATTGAAATTAAAGAAGAAGTGTATGATCATGCAGATGAAGTGAGTGAAGTGAAAGTGGAAAATGAATTTCTTTCCTTCAGGGATCTTCAAGACCTTAAAAATGAAGCAAATGAAAAAGACTTATGTGATAGCATTGAAGATTGCAATACCTTTTCAAGAGTGCCAATTGTGGCTGAGGAAAATGAGAAAAAATGTTCATCAGAAGAGGATGAGGCAAAACATAATGAAAATCATAAAGATATTACACACAGAAAAGTGGATAGGAAATTGAAGTCTTTTGTATGTGAAGTATGTGGCAATATTTTCTACAGAAAATCACATATAGAGAAACATATGAGAGTACACACAAAAGAGAAGCCATACAGCTGTGAAATTTGCAGGAAAGTCTTCTCACAGGAATTTGCTCTAGTAAGGCACGTGGGAGTACATACAAAGGAGAAGCCATATAGGTGTGACATTTGCAAAAAAGCCTTCTCACTTAAATCTGATTTAGTAAAACACATAAGAGTACATACAAATGAGAAGCCATATACCTGTGATATTTGCAAAAAAGCCTTCTCTCAGAAAAGTAATTTAGTAGTGCACTTGAGAGTACATACAAAGGAGAAGCCATATATCTGTGATATTTGCAAAAAAGCCTTCTCTCTGAAAAATCATCTTGTAGTGCACATGACAGTACATACAAAGGAGAAACCATATAGCTGTGGGATTTGTAATAAGGACTTCTCAGGTATATCAGGCTTAGTGAATCACAGAAGGATACATACAAAGGAGAAACCATATGTTTGTGACATTTGCGAAAAAGCCTTCTCTCAGAAAGGTTCTTTAGTAAGTCACATGAGAATACATACAAAGGAGAAACCATATAGCTGTGAGATTTGCAATAAGGACTTTTCACAAAAATTTGACTTAGTGAGACACATGAGAGTACATACAAAGGAGAAACCATATAAATGTGAGCTTTGCATTAAGAACTTTTCATATAGATCTGGCTTAGTGAAACACAGAAGAGTACATACAAAGGAGAAACCATATATCTGTGACATTTGCAAAAAAGCTTTCTCTCAGAAAAATAATCTATTACAGCACATGAGAGTACATACAAAGGAGAAACCATATATCTGCGACATTTGCAAAAAAGCTTTCTCTCAGAAAGGTTCTCTGGTAAGCCACATGAGAGTACATACAAATGAGAAACCATATATCTGCGACATTTGCAAAAAAGACTTCTCTCAGAAAAGTTCTCTGGTAAGCCACATGAGAGTACATACAAAGGAGAAACCATATAACTGTGACATTTGCAAAAAAGCCTTCTCTCAGAAATATAATCTAGTACTGCACTTGAGAGTACATACAGAGAAATTTGAGATTTGCAATAAAGACTTCTCAGATAAGTCTTAGTGGATCACATTGGAGAACATGCAGAGGATAAGCCATTTATGTGTGGTGATCACACATAAATTAAATCTCTAGAATATATTCTAGCACAACACAAGAGAGTACATGCAAATGAGCAACGTGCCTGAGGATTCTCCAAGAAATATGATTTAGTGATTATGTGTGGGCATGCAAAGTCAAAGCTATATAAGCATTCTCTTGGAAAGAAAGAATACTCTAGTGTACATAAAGATAACAGGCTGAACATGTATGAGTTCTGTAGATATACCTTCACCCACAGAAGAAATTTCAAGGGTACATGAGAATTATGAAGGATTAAAATGATCTACAAGGAAGGCTTCCTCTTGACATTATTGTGGCAGATGCATCATAGAGTTTGAAGGTTCTCTTTTTTAACTTGTTATTCATATGATTTTGTTTATGTGTAGTTTTGTGTATTCTGACTTGTATTTTCGTTTTCACAAATTTAATGTCACAGGGGCAGTCAAAAACAACCACTATTTCACAGTCTTCAAAAAACTGCTTCTCTCTAATACAGCCACTTATATAGAGGTCATTGGCCAATTTATAGATGTGTTTTAACTTCTATCATAATTTTGGTACTACAGTTACAGGCAGACACTTCATATTCTTTGTGTGAAATCCTATATAAGATCTTTATTAAAAGGTAAATGAAAGTTGATTCAAGGAAAGAATTTTGTTATCTATAAGTCCATTTACATAAAGAAAAACACATCTGCATCTATGTGTATAGATATCTGTATACATATTTCTATCATATCAATGCATCATTTCATACTTTTCTAATACAATAAGTAATTACTAGGGATAATTTTGTTGTTAATTTTTCAAAAAACATGAATGAAAATTTATATCTCTTTACTGCTAGAGTTGTATTTAAAGCATTTCATTATATCTTGTGATAAACATGTGTATGTCTGATGCAGATGTGATGAAAGTGCATTAAATGCATTTGTTTCAATGTGAAGATATCCATTCTCATTCATATCTTTTTTATGTCAATCACAATGAGTACAAGTATTTCATATCTTTATTTAGATTTTGTTGACAACCATCATCAGCGTGTGTGAAGTATTGGCCATGAGTGAATCTCCAAGTGATATGCCAATTGACTTCATGTGAGGGAACATTCATCTTTGTGTCTAAAGTTATTCTGAGAGGGAAAGCAGCATCCAGCAGTCATGTCCTCATATATCCTTTTAAGGACAGGCACACCTTTAGCCATTATGATGTAAGGACGAATGACGTGTATACACATCATGAATCACGAATGGGTGGGCCAACTATACACAGCACACTATTGCATAAGGATTTATAGAGAATTCTGGCCCTGTCATGGTAGGGATATATATGTAAATATATATATATATATATATATATATATATATATATATATATATATATATATATATATATATATATACATATATATGGCATAACGTCACACTCAAATATGTGCAAAATAATTTTTGCTCTTTGTGTGCAAACATGTTGAGAGTGCTTTTTATTTTGTTAGTTTGTAACTCGGTAGAAAGTGACACACTGGCCAGCCAAGCCGAGTGCAATACTCTAAAACATATTCCATGTATGCCTCAGATTTATATTTTCATTACTTATAAATTGTTTTATATATTTGATATAAAATTCATAAGCATGTGTGTCTTTTTTTCCACTTTTGCAGTATGTGAATTATATGTCCACAATATAAGATTAATGATTGTTGCTAAAACAAGAGGGTAAATTTTTAAAATGTTATTAGTCATGTGATTACATATTGACTTCATTGGGATATCTTTCAAATCATGATTTATTCTTATATGATGAGAACAAATCTGATGATCATTTCTAGCACCAACTTTCACAAACTTGAAATCCACAAATATACATATATATGTGTATATATATTTTTATATGTGTTTACATATATATACACACATATATGAATATTTATATATTTATATACACATATCCAACCCATATTTTGGTAAAATCTCCAGAAATTCACACTATCTAAATCCCCAACTTTATTCAATAATCCAAGTTGCCATGTCTAGGCATGCATTTCGGGCACTGCCTGAGGGGACGGTTCATTCTCTGCGCCCAACATCTCCCGGCAACCAGTCTCTTCACTTCAGTATGTACGGCAAGAGAGAGCTACATCCATTCCTTAAAGAATAAACAAAATACCTTTATATCTCGCAACACCAAACTTTCCTTCGCTTCTTTCTGTTGTCTGGATGGCCTGGTTTCTAATCACTTTTTTGTGCGTTTGGGGCACTTGATGGGTTAACATATTGAGCTGCGATAGTCACTAATGTCTATTTCTTCTACATAGCGACTATATTGTGTTTAGAAATGACCTGATCGGCGCAGCACTGAAAACGATAATTACTCAGCGGCGCTTTGTCAGGGAATGCCAAGTCGCGCTGTTGAAAGTCATATTTTTTTTTACAGAATAAAGTAAATACCTATCAAAACACATTTAATAATTTCAATAATTTTTTTTTTTAATGCATACAGTACATGAATTAGGAAAATAGATGTTGAAAATGACAAAATAATTGTTTTTACAGTTTCTAATGATTATGTACATAATGAAGATTCGTATATTGGGTATTTTATTTAAATAAATAATATGATAAATAAAATGAAATGATAATAAAAATAAACAATATGATAAATGTTTAGGCGAAGTAATAAGGGAACTAATTCACAGATTGCAGTAATGAGTTCATAGTAATGTTTTCCTTCGCGATTTCGATATGGCGTTGGTTGATCTCTCTTCTCTGTCATGTATCTCCTTTATTTTCGATTCGTGCGCCTGTTGCCATGGATGAAATGTCTCATTTTACGTCAAGGTAATAATTTTATACCCTTTAATATTATTACTATTACTATTATTTATTATTATTTCCTTTTTTTTTTACTGTATCTCTGACTCTCTTATATGACCTTTAATGTCTAGCACATTAATTTGTTTTAACCATTACAAGACATGCTAATGGTGCAAAAACAATAGAGCACAATTCACCGTAAATGTGAATAATGAAATGTAAAAGTCCCCCCCTATGTCGTTTTCTCTAAAGGATTTACTCTTGAGCGTGGGAATCAGGCGATCCGGATTCACTTACGTGAACGTCAACAAAGTGAAAGAGCCAAGCGAACGTGTTGTTTACTGCAGTGTCAATATTAAGTGGTTAGTATATTACAAAGTTGTTAGTACATTATTAGTTTTATTTTATTTTTACTATGAAAACTCCGAGAGCAATGTGGAGTGGCGGAAGGAAATAAGTAAGTAGAATAATTGATGAAGAAGGCAAGGAGGAAAGCGAAAAAAACATTTGATATTTCGAAGCTTTGTAAGTGTTAGAATGAAAAGGATTGTGAGTAAAGAAAAGAGGGAATGCCGAATCTAGAGATAATCAGATGCTATGTCAAGAAGCAGAAGACAATAGAACTTGATAATCTGTTAATTATCCAGAACAGTATGTATTAGGTAAAAAAATCTCCCTCTTCAATTATTTTTGGAAGATAAGAGTTGGAATTGATTCTTTGTTTGATGAAAAGTCCTAAAAAAATATTTTGTTATGTCACAATATGTTTTGAGGAGATTGTTGGTATTTACAAGTGTAAAGTGGAATAAAGGTCATATGAGTGCTTGAATTGCAACTCTTTTATTTATAGATTAAATTCTTATTTACCTAAAGTTTCTAGTGATTATGTACATTATAAAGGTTTGTATATGTGTATTTTATTTGTAGATTATGATAAATGTTTGAATGGCACCTGAATGACTGCTACTTTTAGACAAAGGTTGTCGCTCCTGATGGTGCTCCAGCAAAGAACAACAATGTTGCATGTTGAATGTGGGGACTTCTGAGGTAATTACAAAGGAAAGGAATTTTTTTCCTATATTTTTCACCTTATCCTCTACAATTCTTTGGATTAGTGGGGATTTCTTTTTTTTTGGGGGAGGGAGAGGGGAGAGGGCTCCAGCATGGGACCTTCTCTGATGGACATATTTCTCAGGCTGAGGGCTCTATTCCAGACCCCTTTCATTGGCTGTGTTTCCTTGTAACCCAAAGTAAGAGTAAATAATCATAATTTACAAGAGGCTGGATGGAGATCTGTCATTTCATGAGGAAAATTGGGGAGATTTATTTTTAATGTCAAATTTGTACTGTTGCTTACGCATTGGGTACTCTGAGGCTTTTGGGTAAATCTTTATAGTAAGGATACAGTAATAGGACTACCTGAAGATGACATTATTGTAAATGATAATGATTTGCAGTCATTGGTATAAAAAAAAAAAAAACTGTATTACACTCTATTATTGTTATTCACATTGATATCAAAAGGTAGACCAATCAGGTGCAAGGGTGTAGGTCCAACCAGTATTGGGCTTTCTCCTCTATTTATGTATAGCATTTGCACAAATATTGCCGTAGAAGAAAAGTGTCTTGGTTTGTATTGGTCTATCAAATTATAAAGGTTTTATCTCCAAACTCAGGCACTACGTCATTCTGCATATTGTCCAGTATTCTATTTGTACATTATGATGTTTGAATGGCACATGAATGACTGCTACTTGCAGATGGTCCAACCAACCAAAGGAGATCTAGGTCATGCCCCTGGCATTGATGTTCATGGGTGTGAGAGTTCACATTCTTTACTGGTTATATACAGGCTCCCGTTTGCTTATTTCACACGCATGAGCAGATACATGAGCGCATAAATTATTGAGCAGAGAAATATATGGAAATGAGATTGAAGGCATGAAAGTGGGAAAGATAGATAGTTTAATGTGAGGACATACATTTGATAGGTCATAGAAAATGCATTGCACGTCATTACATGACCATTGAATATATTTCGAGATAGACAAACACAAAGTTGCAGATGTTTAACAAAAGTAAACTTCCAGTTTTAACATAGACTATTTATAATTGTGTCAGACATACACAACCAGGTAATGGTGCTGCAATTATTACCATTGTTGCTGTTATCATTATGTATATGGATGTTATTATTAGCATTATTGCTAATATCATTACTATGTATGTGATTATTATTATAATTATCATTATCACTATTGCCATTTTCATTAAGATTATTATTAATGAAATATTTGTTATTATCAATATATGTTAATTGATATTATTATCAATTAATAATTAATATTATTATTAATATTATTTGTTAATAATTAATAATATTTGATAATAAAGATTACATTTATTTGTCAATAATTGTTATTATTATGTTTCTAATGAATATTGTTAATAATAACTATTTTTATCATTATTTATTAATATTATGATTATTGTTTCCATTATCATTGAGATTAATAATATTGACATTATCTTTTTTATTATACTTATTAATCTTTTATCATTATTTTTCTTTTTATAGATATATGCATCATCATTATACCTATTATTGTTATTAATATTACTGTGATTTAAAACTAATGAAGGCAATG